TCTTCCCTGTATCCCATTAAAAGTTTCACACCGCTATGGTTAGTAGCCCATTTCAGCCTGAAGGATGTTCTGGAGAGCCTTTCCACTGACTCATCTTGATGGCTTTTGCCTGCCAGCTGATGGGGCTGGTGGCTTTCCTGTCAGAGCCCTGCGAGGGGCTGGGGTGGGATAAGGGGCTTGTTTCTCTGACTGGGTTATTGGGGTTCCCTGCCTGGCGTTGTGGTCCTTCCTCCTTGTGGAGATGGGCCTTTCATGGGCTGATCTTGTGATAGCCCTGGCAGAAACCAGGTCACAGGGCTCATTGCTCTTGATTAGGTTATTTGGGTTACAGCAGCTACCGTTGTTCCTCTGTGCTGCCTTGTGTTGGTTAAGATCAGCCTTTTAGCACACACCCTGACCTTGCCTACCAGAGGTGACCGTACCTCCTGCGCTTCTTGCACAGCACCTCACAGAAATCTGTTTTATCCCCTAGAAGTTCTGTGTTCCTGAAGCAGACATCTCAGTGCTTCTGCAGAGGTCTCCTTAGGCCCTTCAGGGGGGCTTGTAGGACTTGGCAGGCAGCACTTTAGACAGCTTAGACACAAAACTTCAAAAGCAATGATGGTTATACTGGTAATATAGCTATCCAGGGGACATGTGTGATAGTTGTTTTCTAAGGGAACATTTGAAATCCCAGCAGGCACACTCTCTGGAGGTAGCAGCTATGAGTTCATAACAGCTCTGTGAAGCTTCAGCTCACACAGCGAGGAGTGTCCCTTCCATTGTGTTTGGTCTGGACTTCATGGCTGCTGTGGAATTCTGTCTCTGTTTTGCATAATGGGCTAAGGTACCTTTCTGCTTCAGTTTGTTTGTAGATTAATTCCTGGAGTCAAATTTTCCTGGGTAAAGGAGTGGCAGGACAATTGAAACAGCTGCTTTTAGTATGAGTTGTGAGTCTGATGACTAACTAACACACTGGCTAATGATATGTGTTTTCAGGGTTGTCTCATTCTCCCACCAGCAGGTAGCATTCCCCTCCCCTCCCACACACCTGTGCTCCTAGAGTAGGCTGTTTCCCCACTGATGTGGTTTGGGTGCGTGAAACCTCTCGTGATTGTTGGGGCCACCCTTCCAAAAGACTCCATTCCAGTTGGTATTGCCCCATCTTAGTTCAAAGGATCTTGTAGTAAAAATCATTTGAGGTGTGGACTTCTCCTGCTTCCCCATGTATCACACAGTCCTACAACCACTCACCCTCCAGTCCTGGTTGATGTAGTCATTCATCAGTCCAAGTGCTGTTTACTACCTGTTTGACTGGAAATCAGTCAACACCTCTTTTACAGCCTTTCTAAACAGATGCCCATGCTGTTTGAAAGCCCATCCTAGTTTTGTATCTGCTGAAAAGCCTCAGCTCTGTAACCCTCACAGCCATAGGTGTCCTTTGATATCGTACCAGCACACAGGAGTTCATTAAAGGTTAATGGTACTTGTGTACAGGTGGTCTCCTACATCACCTTGGTTAGAGTCATAGGGATGGATTGTGCAAGTTTTATTGCAACTTCTACTGTTTCCACCCCTAGTCTGGCTGTCAATGTGCCATTAGATTTTAAAACCTCTCTGGAGGCTATTCTTCCTTTGTTAGCTTGCTTGAGGGTGGTTAGTATGGGTAGATGCATGCAATTTCTTTTGCTTTCCAGACCCCTAGAGCCGTATTACCTGGTTTTCATAAAAAGTTCATTAGGTTATGCATTTTGCACTTCAGAAGGGTGATTTGATATCACCATAAATAGTTGTGGCCAGGTCCAGCGCCCGGTTCTTTCAGCTGCCTGAACGGCTTTAGTACAGTTAGCACAGAGTGATCCAATGAACTGTAACGCTGTTTAGTACAAAAATCAGTACAAAATCAGTTCAAAAATTCAGTATAAACATCAATTCTATTTGCTGGTAGCACTACTGGAGCCTTTATCTTGGTCTGCTGCCACAGTGAGACGCTAATAATGAGGCACTGGCTAAACTTTCTCTAGTTTTCCTGCATTTTCTGAGGATCTCAGCTCTCACGGGATCTGAATGATGCATCGTTTTTCTCAGGACTTCGTTTCTTCCTGTCCCTATGTGGTAGGTAGTGGTCAACCAGAGCTTAAAGTACTTGAAATACTTGTTTTAAGTCCTGTCTCTCAGATGATAGTAGGAAATAGGTATAGCCTCAGCTTTCAGAACACTCTCTCTTTCAGTCTTACTACGTATTATTATAAATTTATAGACCTGCCTCTCTCAATAAAACATTAGTACCAGTTCATAGAAAGCTGTGGTTCGCAGCAGCTGCTTCTTTCTATTAAACGGTGTCCAAGCCAGAGAACTAGATCTAGGCTGGCTGCTTACAAGTGGTTTAATGAATTTGTCATCCTCCTTTGACATTTGAACACTTTGGTACAGTTTTCTTTAACAAAGGATTTTGTATACATGTGTAATCAAGTCAGTGTTGAAACCCTGCCCTCTTGAAAGGCTCCAGGTTAGCACTTCAGGTGTGATGATCTTTAACTCATACAATACAGATGAAAGAGGCTGTGGGAAGTACGTGAAGTTTATTCCAAAATCCTGTGATTTTCCTTTCCCAGAACAAGTAGCAGTTTTGAGAAGGAAGATGGGTAGCCTATTCTAAGTTAGTGTAGGTGTACATAGACTTTTCTGATTAACTCCTCTTCATACTGCTAATTATGGGGAGTGAAGGAAATGTTGTTCAGTTTCCAGGCTGAGACTGACATTTTAGACAGCCAAAGGCACTGACTAGGCAAAATACTCTTAAGTACATCTCAAAAGAGCAAAAGCTTTTCAGTCTTCCATAGCAAAGTTCTTGTTTGCTAGTAAAGCAAGAGTGTGGAAGCCTGGCTTAATGCATTTAAAGAAGCTGAAAAATCTGGATGAAGCTTCTTCCCCTGAAGAAGGAAAATAAAAATTAAAAAAAATGGAAGAAAAAGAATATATAATAGTATCTTGAGTCTTACGTCAGCTCTGACTGCAGCTGCTGTTCACCCTTTGTGATTCTGTGTCCTGCTGTTTTCCTCAGTCTTGAATAAAAGAAAAGCCAAATCTGTCAAATTCTGTATTGGAAACATTTGATAGCAAAAGTTTAAGAAAATTTTCAAAAGGATAAATAGAAAAAAGGCCTTGTCACCTATATGGATCTGTTTCTAGGTAGAAAAGATTGCTCTTTACATTAAATGTAAATCAAGGTGGTGCTGCAGCCACTAAAGAATGCGTTTTCTTTCATATCTTACCTATATTTTTTACATTCATGATGTCTCTCATCATTGTGAAACAACTATTGCTAACTGCGTTTCTAACTCAGACACTTTTTATCATGTGCAAATGCCTTTTAGAGGGCGAAGAGATAAAGTACTATATTTTATGAAAAAAACCCCAGGATTCTTGCAAAACAAAAATTATTATTGAACAATTTTAAAAAACTAAATCTCATACTTTATTACTGTTTATTGCACAGTTAAGATATAGCGATTACTTCATAACAGATTTTTAATGTATGTTGTTTTACTTGTTGGAAGAGAAGCCCTTTTTCCATTCATGGTTTACCACTGCACTAGTTAAAATATAACAATACATGCAATAGAATTAAATTAACTTCTTACTCTTTTTATAATCTATGCCAGTAGGAAAAATTTTTGCTTTACGATAGCTGTGGGAACTCATTCTAATTATTTTAAATCTAAGCTTGCTTTCCAGGTTAAGTGTTGAATTTAATAACTACTCAAATATTGGCCCCCTCCACTATATAACTGCACTAATACTGATTGAAATGGCAGTAAATATATATATATAAAAGATTAACTGGAGAGAATGCACGTTATTACATTTTTAAAAGCCTCACAGTATTTAATAGCAAATGTTCATTTTTTTGTGAGTGTTGTAACAAGTTAAAAAAAAATAAAAAGGAAAATATGTGCGATCAAAAAATACCTTCAGTCAAATCCTGTGCTAACTTGACAGTGGAAAAAGATATGATAGTCAGCATTTTCAGTGATAGAGCATAAAATAGTAATAGAGATCCCTTGTCAGAAATTTAGGGCTTCATTCTGCTATTTTGTGCAGTTTAGTCTTTATCTTGTAAAATTATTTAACTCTCAGAGGCACAAGCTTCCTGAAACCTAGGTAAAGAGGCGGTATGTGTCTGTAGATTTCACTGAATCAAGGCCAGCAAACAAGCACATTGTTGGACTGTCCGTTTTCTGCACGTCTTAATTATCTGTGTGAGGGAGACTGAATCACATGAAAGAACAGTCTGATGAGGATGTTGCATAGAAAGATACTGATTTCTCCTTTACCTGAAGTTGAGAACAGTACTTCCAGTAGAATGCTTGTCACTGGTCTTAACTGTGACATCTGATTGCACTAGGAATACTGTCCATTTTCAGGAAAACACAAATCAATGGCAGTTTGCCACCCAAGCACTAAAAGACAGACTGATAACATAGTTCTTGTTGCTAATTAGAATAAATGCATTTATTTGAGTAATCTCAAACTGCCCTAAACAATAAAATAGGTGCTAGCAAACTAAAATAACAGTTACAATGGGAATTCTTCCATAAAGAGATCTGACAGGTAGAGACAACTAAGAAATAGTTCTGATGAAGCACCAGATGGTCCCCACAAGTCCTCCCAAAAAATGGAAAAACCCCATCTCTTAAAATAAATAAAAGAAATTGAGTTAATAGAATTCTCAGGCTTAGCCTGAGAATTAGAAGCTCATAAAAAGATCAATGTGATTATCTTGCTCTCGGTAACTGGATACTGGGAAACTGGGTACAGCTAGTGCCTGTGTCTAAAAAGGATATTGAACTCTGTAAGTTTGGATGATTTATGATCAAGCTGTTATATATTAAGCCAAACAAACATGGGTTTGCAGGTTTCTTGTCATTGGTGCAATGTTTATTCTGTCAATGTCTCATAAGGGGGCATGGAAGACAATATTTGGCTATTTTTACTAACTTAAGTGTTTTCCCTTTTAGTTATTCAGATATTCTCATTGAAAGGGAGGTGTTAATGCAGAAGTACATTCATCTTGTCCAGATTGTAGAGACTGAAAAGATTGCTGCCAATCAGCTTCGGCATCAACTTGAAGATCAAGACACAGAAATTGAAAGACTTAAATCTGAGGTATCTGCCAGAGCCATTAAGCAATCATTAAATTACATAATTTTGCCGTGTGCTTTGCAATAATATTCAATATTTCTTTAATATTTTTGACAGTAACAGAACCCAGTAAGGTTAATACATAACCCTTGGCTATGAACCCTTGGCTAAATATTTTTCTTAGAAATATTGGGGGCTATTAGACTCATTGGATTACTTCTTTGTCAGAAACTTTAAGCTAACACATTGCTTTGCAGTATGGGTGCCACTGGTTGCATTATTTCCTACCTGTCTTCACGCAATGGGTTTGATCCTCAACACATTGGGTGTGACAGTATTGAGAACCCTTCCAAACTGCTCTGTTTCACTGAATGTTAAAAATTTATTGCATTCCTGAGCTGATGAAGTCTGAAAGGCACACTTGGTTTTGAGAGGAGAACCAACTTTCTTCTGGTCTTTCCTCCATCTGGATCAGGAGTCTTGTGGATTTTCAGAGAACTCAGTTCTTGTCCCTGTGATCAAATATGTGCTTGTTATTCTGTGCAGCTTTAACAGGCTTGAAGAAGGGGAAAATATTTTTCTGTTAGTTCTGTAACTACGAGTTTCATTGACTTGAAAAAGCATTTAATGAATGGTTCTTTTTGTCAGATTATAGCTCTCAATAAAACAAAAGAAAGAATGCGACCGTATCAAGGCAACCAGGAAGATGAGGATCCAGATATTAAAAAAATTAAAAAGGTAAACATGCAATCTTCTGTGCTTAAGAGGAGAAGAGTGGAATGCGGGTGTGCTTCTGTGTTTTAGTCTGTCTAGTTTTGTCTTCATTTGTTTTCATTAAATGCAGTCAAGGAGCAAGATTCCTTTTGCCCTGCTCCTGCTTAAATCTCTTAAATTACATCAGCTTCCTATATTTCAGTGCCACATTTATACCATGGTTTATTTGTTACTTAAGTGTTCATTTTTTCTTACAAGGTATATGTAAAGGAGCTTACACATTGTGTTCAACTGCTTGTAAAGATTGAAATAAAGTCACAGGCTTCCTGTGAGAATCAAGTGTATAGTGACTTTATACTCTCACAAAATGCTTATAAAGATATAAGGGAATTATTTACATTCTGTCACTGCAGCTGGACAGTGACAGTGACGATATTGAAAATGCAGAGAACAGTCTTGCTTTGGGTTTTCAGCCAGTCTGTTTGATGGTGATTGTTCCAGGGTACTATGGCCAGTGTTTTAAGTGACAGGGACAGAATTGTCCCACTCTGTGTGGTGTTTACATATGCAGCTCTTGGTGATACTGCTTAAGGATGGTTATAATCAACCTCCAGAACTGTGTCCATCACTGACCCCCACAAATCCTAATGCATGAGTATGAATGGAATTCACGCTTGAAGATGTGATCCTGTATGTGTCACCCTTATTCTCACAGTGTTCAGTCTCTTAAATTGGATAATATCCTTTATGACATGTGGACTTAGTTTCTGACTTTTTCTGGGTCACGCAGTCTGAGTCAGGGTCAGCACTGAGCTGGTACCCATGTGTGAATTTTCCTTTTCATGTAGATTATATATTGTGATAGGAGCTGGAAGTGTCTCTTTTAGTAGAAGGAGAGCTCTGATTCTGTATAAAATTCACTGCATTCTGCATCTTCATTGTTTTGACAATTGGGCCCTTTTCTAAACTTGTTTTTTCAGAGTAAATTCTACAGTGAGATTTTGCATTTCTCTTTCAAGATGAATCATCCTCACATCAAGATCAGGGCAAAGACATACTAAAATTTTCAGTGACCAGATGTAGACCTCTGTAATCTTTAATCCATTTGTAACTTCAATGGATATTACGCTTAAGTACATTTTTCCATCACATAGAGATACTTTTTAAGAATGACAAAAATCTGCCTTTTCTGGATTTGCTTTATTGCTGGCCTAGGTGTCTGATACTAAGCAGTATATTGATACTTAGCTTTAAATACACGTGCTAAGTGGTATCCATTCAAAACAGAAAGCAAACTGGGTTTAACAACTATTTTAGAATGGTGTCAGTAATGATATTGAGTGTGTCCTGAAATGTGCTACCTGAAAGCATTGCACCATACTTATAGATGTATAAGAGAAATGTGTAAGGGGAGGTAAAAGGAGTTAATAGATCTGCATAAGCGTAGCACAGTTGTGCTGATAGGAAGAGTATGTACAAAGGTACGTTTAAGCCTGCAGTAAAAGGTACCTTGATACGTATGTGATATCTTTTCAGTCTGTTTCCTGGCAACAAATATGATCAAGTGATTGTGGGAATTTAATTAACAAATGGGAATTTAATTAACAAACAAAAAACTAAAAAAAAAAAAAAAAAGTAATTCAGGAACAATTATAGATCAATAAGGGCAACAGACTTTTTTTTTTTTAACAGAGGCATTTCATTTAGGGAGTTACTGAGTTATTTCTACAATGAAGAGCTTATTATAAGTCATGTAATGTTTTTTTCTCATTCTTCTTTTCTGCTTGGTCCTTTTTTAGGTCCAGAGCTTTATGCGGGGCTGGTTATGTAGAAGAAAATGGAAAACTATTGTCCAAGATTATATTTGTTCTCCTCATGCAGAAAGCATGAGGAAGAGGAATCAGATTGTTTTTAACATGGTGGAGGCTGAATCTGAGTATGTGCATCAACTTTATGTTCTTGTGAACTGTTTTCTGCGGCCCTTAAGAATGGCTGCAAGTTCAAAGAAGCCACCTATCAGTCACGATGATGTTAGCAGCATTTTCCTCAACAGGTAAGAGGCTTTTGCTGTGCTTTTTGGGCATTTCTCTGACCAATTCTTCCCATTCTGCTTCAGTTTACAACAGTGAGGTCTGGCACTTGTTTTTTTTGCTCTGATGTAGGTAATATCACTGAGGAAGACCATGTTTCCAGAGATAAAAGGCAAAGTGCTGTCAGTGATGTTGTTTGAAACCAGCTAGATCTCTTTGCCTCCTTACATTCTATTTCTTCCTCTGCTAGAGGAAGAAAAGGACAAATGGTGCCTGTTGGTGCAGTTCTTATCACTTTCTGTCACCTTTCCTGTTTCTTTTTCTCTTAAGAGAGCAAAATTTGACTTAGTGGCCTCATATAATCCAAATAAGACCCTGAGGATGAGTACATCAGATCTTTTCTTTTCGTTGTCCTGCCTAAGGAGTCTCCTTCCCCCTCCCTTGTCTTTTCATATCCTACACAAAAGAATTGTTCTTTGCATTAAGCATCCAAGTACTATTGTAATGAGTATGTACAAACAAGCCAGCAGGCATCTAACATTAGATACAGGATTTGGATTGCATCCAAGACTGCCCCAAACTTCTAAGAAAGAGAACATGTTCCTTTAGGTATGAGGCAGCTTTCTGTTTCATAGCTCTTTCATGGTCACTTTACTTTTCATGGTTTCTATTACAACTGGAACTCCCCCTAATTCTGTTGACCTTATAAGCTAAAATACAATATTAAGGTTAATGCTATAGAAAAGTTGTAAGCTTCAAATCTTAAACAGCAGCAAGCGAGAATATAGGTAACTACTAGTGGTTTGAGGTTTCTGCATCTTGCTGGTCCTCTTAAACTACTTGAATGTATTGTCAGGGATATTCTTGGAAAACATATTCATTAAACTATTTGGAATTAAACTATGTGTAACATGTTATTTAGTAGATGCTTTTCTTTAAAAGAACTTAAACAGTTAGAATATGCTTTCTACACCAACTACTATGTATTTTTTAGACATACTACACTAAAAGTTTTAAACAATGCAATAAAAGGAAGCACTTACTTCCATAATAGTAACTATCTTCTGTTTTTTCTAGCAAAGTGCAAAACATACTGCTAACCAGGAAGAGATGTTTCTCTGTAAACTATTAATCAGAAAATAAAACCTGAATTATGTTTTTGTTTGTTTAAATACTTGTTTTTCAGTGAAACAATCATGTTTCTTCATGAGATATTTCACCAAGGCTTAAAGGCAAGAATAGCTAATTGGCCTACCTTAATCCTAGGTAAGTTACTGTATTTTCTCTAGGGGTAAAATTTTCATATTTATTTTTGAAATTACAGTAAGATTTTTTTTTTTTATTTTTTTAAAGACAAGATGTTTTTTAAAGTTCTTTTTGGATGGAACACATTTCCAGAGCTAAGACCACAAGATCTGCTGTCATGGGAGTGCCATGTAGGCAGTAATGACTGTCTTCCATTCCATACATGAGAATGCCTCTGCCCTAAGTATTGATTAGACATTGGCACCTGAATTTTCAGTAATATTGTCTCATTATTAGCTAATCAGAACAACAAAAGCTGAGTTTAATGTTTCTAAGGTCTCAGTTATATTGGAAACAGAACTGATTGTAGTAATTAACTTCCATAGAACATAGTAGTTTCTTTAAAAATATATTTCAGGAGATGAGTAGCTGGAAAAAAAAGCATTTCTTGACTTTTTCTAGCTGACTTATTTGACATTCTGCTGCCAATGCTGAACATATATCAAGAATTTGTTCGGAATCATCAATATAGTCTACAAGTACTGGCAAACTGTAAGCAAAACAGAGATTTTGACAAACTCTTGAAGCAATATGAAGCCAACCCAGCATGTGAGGGGCGAATGCTGGAAACTTTCCTTACTTACCCCATGTTTCAGGTAGTCTCTGTATATTTTTTGTGACTATTTGTTTTTAATGTTTGGTTGATTCATTTTGTGCTACTGACATTACAGTTCATTGAAGATTCTTCTTGCTTAACTAAAAATACTCTCATGCAAATTAATTTCGTTTTAATTTATTTTGTTATTATACCAAAACTTTATCTATAGAGATCTTTTTTACGACTCTGCTGATTCACCAGTGACACGTGTATTAGTGCTAGTTATTCATAAATCTATATTCATATACATTTTTTTTTTTTAGCTTTGAGCTTGTATATTGTAAAGTTTTGGGATTTTTTGGTTGGGCTGAAACAAATTCATGGGATCTTAGAAGAGAGCAAGAGAGTCCTATTCATATGTGATGGGGGATGTCATTGCTGATGACTGTTCACTTCAGTGTAATAAGAAGTCATGTTCTTATTAGAAGTAGCTTGTAGTCTGTAAAGACAAGTTATAGTGCAGTATCACTTGGTTCTGGTTAAAAGCCCTGAAACAGCTTTAAATAATAATAAATGGATCAGGGTCCTTGTGCTGCCCTATGGCCTTGAATAGTCAAATATTGCATATTCTTCAGTTGTCCATTAGTGCAGTATGAATTTCATCTAAATGCAAACTGGTATTTTCAAAGTCTCAAGAAATTTAGATACACATATCCTATTAAAACTGAGGGAAGCTCTGTATGGATCTCCCAGGGAGTCTTGAAAGTTTTCTCTATGGGATAGCAGCATGAAACAATGAAATTTAATGTCAAATATGTGGCTGCCTCTGATCTGATCTTTTCCTTAAAATGTAATAAATGGATCTCGTGCTTCCTCAAACTGAAAACATACATATGCATATGCAGTCTCTGTCACCCAAAAGTTCAGTGTTTTTTGGCAGTAGTTATATTTGGAATATATGTGTAATCATTCAGCTGTGGCTATTCATTTAAAAAAGACGATGTTTGCAAAACTTTTCTGGCCAAGATAATGGCTAATATTTAACAAAAAGCTGTATGGGAATTATTCCTCTATGGATTTACTGATTTTATACCTAATTTGTTTTAAGATTCCTAGATATATTATAACACTTCATGAACTTCTGGCTCACACACCGCATGAACATGTTGAGCGAAAAAGCCTTGAATTTGCTAAATCTAAACTAGAAGAACTTTCAAGGTAAGATTTTTCTACTTTATGTTCAATAATTTTGAATCAAAAGTTTTGAAATGGAAAATCTATTTTCTTTATTTTGATTTGTTTTTGTTCTTTTAAAAAATATTTTAAAGAAAAGAATTTAAACGAAAGTAAAACAAAGATAATGAAAAAAAACCCCAGAAATACCTCAACCTAATATTTTACCTCTTAATTTTTTTTTTTTTTTTGCTAACATAAATCTGCAAGTGCCTCCTTGTATTTTGGGTAGGGGAGGATAGGAGTTGCTGTAGGAACCACCTACTCCTGGGTTATGTGCAAAGCAATTTTCTTTACATAGAGAATTATTTTTTTTTTTTTTCACAGTTTAAAGAAAAAGGGCATTTCTGATACTCAGTGACAATGGGAATCAGTCAGGGTCTTGAAAAGTACCAAGTTTTCAATCTGTGTTATGTTTTACATGCGTTAATGAAATAACTGATTTTCACATACGCTTCAAATAATGACAGATAAGCAGGAACTAAAGATATAGTTTGAGAACTGGTGCTCCCTGTAGAAATTTGCAAAATGAAGCTCTTCCCTGAGCTCCCAGACCATTCTCAGATGTTCCCCTTGGTGAGCCCAGTAAGAAATTTGGATGTTATCTCCGGGAAACACAGTTTTCTGCTGTGAACAAAGAAATGCTGCATGAACTCCGGGATATAAATCTTGAGTATCTGGAGCATTGACCAAAGCTGTACTTGGAGAATCTTTAGCTGTAAAAGAGGGATCTCTTTGTAGCTTTTGTTAATTGTGTGCCCTTGGCTGCTGAGTTTTCTTTTTCTGTTAAGACAAAGTTCCTACCTTGTGAAACTATCTTGTTAATTTGGAGCTTATTATTTTTCCCTTTTTCCCCTCCTGTATCTTTAATAGAGGCAGCTGTCTGAGTCAGGTCATGTTGTGCCACCTCTTGAAGCTCTAACTTCTTAAAGAGCTGGGCAGGCAATATCTTTTACAGAAATGACTGTATTTGACTCCTGCAGTGTTCAGCAAGTTCTGCCCAGGCCATCTGAAGCAGAAGGAAATAATGTCACCTTTCCAGTCAAGCAAAGCAGAGGATTTCTCTGGCCAGGGTTACATGCACAAGGAGATCAATCAGCTTTAACTTGTCTTCATCTCATAAGTCAGAGTTCATTGCTGATCCAACTAATTCATCACTGAACGTTCAGAATTGGAGGCTGAGACTGATTGATCGTCCTCTGTTCATAAGGCAGGCAGTATAGACCATAAATATAAAATTTTGTGACTCATTTCCATCCCTTTTATGTAGTTCTGAGTGAGGAGGAGCTTTCAGATAGTGCAGTCCAGACCCAGTTTAGGAAAATATTATGCATCACAACAGCATATAAACTCCTGGGTTGGTTTCAGCCATGAAAAAATTGTATTTCTCTGTGTAAGGGGAGAATACTTGGGAAAAAAAGTGGAAGAAAATAAGCAGTGAGCCATCAAGGCTGTGGTTGTTATAGGAAGCAAGGGGGAAGTGAATGGTTACATGGAGATGTAGACTGAAGCAGAGCAGAGTGGGAACCTGAAGTCATGGTCAAGGACTCTACGATTTGTTAGAAATAATACAAAATGTTAGAAACACTTCCAGGTTTGTGGCAGCCTTGTCTATTAAGGATCAGGAAGTACTGTTCTCTCTGTGAAGGGCTTTTAGCTTGGTGGCATCTGTCAGATGTGTTTAGGAATAGTCTAAAAACAAGTCTTGCAAAATTGGTTTCACTGCTGAAGAACTGAAATGATGGCAAGAATTATCTGAGAGGCAGGGAAGAAAAAGCAAGAAAGTTGCTTGAGAGTGATCATGTCCTGCACGGATATATGTGTTTTGTAGAAGGTGGCAAAGGACATCAGCTACCTTCCGTGTCTACGCTGTGTAACTGCAAGTGAAAACAGGCACCACAGGTGCAAGATACCTGTCAGGGAATTTGAAGTGCATTTTGTATTGTGTCTAACAGGGTGATGCATGATGAAGTCAGTGACACAGAAAACATCCGGAAGAATCTAGCAATAGAAAGAACGATAGTAGAAGGCTGTGATATATTACTAGATACTAGCCAAACTTTTATACGCCAAGGTAAGACATTCTTCTTTAAAGCTATCTATATAATAATGAAAAAATTGCATTAAAACCAGCAGGGTTCATGTTGCCATGATTGGGCAAGACACTGTACTGGGCACAGCTCACATCCTAAGACTACTCACGGTCTGTGGAGGGTAAGTCAGAAAATGCCCTGATGACAACTAATTTTGGGCTGTAGTTGAACCCCCTTTCTGTCCTGTTTTCTTCAGGAACCATGAAAAACAGCAGCACATGAATGGTAAGTCACCCATGGAACAGTAATGTACATTCTGCCTGGACTATGATCTTCAAAGAGATGGAAAGTACCTACAGCTCCACAGAGACCAGGGCTACCTGGCCAGTTAACAGGGTAGTCCTAGCTGATTTGGGCAGAAGTGCGGGAGAAACATGAGGCTTTGTCAGTGGTAAAGTGATTGCTAGGAAATAAAAAAGCTGTCAGTTGTTCCCATTTTTCTTGCTGCTTTGGAAACATCTCAAATGATACTGTGAGCAGATACTATACCTGAACATACTCGCTGTGCCTCTTTAGGTGCACTTTTGGGCTTCAGTAGAAGTTCAGGACAGATATAAGAAGCAATTCTGCAAGAAGTTGTCATGAAGAAAAGGCATCCTGTTCTGACAGGAATGTAGGACTCTTAATAGAACAGCAAAACAAGAGGGGAAGAGCCATACTGTATTCTTCTTTGTCTATTCTTGGTGGTTTTGCAAACTCTTTCTATTGAAACTTAGTTATAGCGGAGGTGGAATTTGTTGTTAAGTTACACAAATTTGTGACAAAATAACTTTTTATCACAAATTTTACCAGGAACTGCAAACTGGTTGCAGTTCTTATTTGATGGGGTTTATTTTAATGTTAAAACAGCAAATGTGGAAACTTTATAACTGAAGCTTATTTTTCTCCCATTTATATAATTTACTTCTGGATCTTTTGAAACAAGTTAGTGAGTTTCTATACAGTAACTACAGATCTGTAGCCTAAGGTTTTGACTGGGTAAAAGCTGCTTTGTGTCTGAAAAGCATTAAATGTGTTTAGGAGAGGCTAGGAATGTAATGTAGGTGCATCCCCTGCATGACATATTTTCTAGACAGCCTCAGCAGCACATTTGGTATTTGATAGAGCCATATACACAGCTGGTAATTAATTGGCTTTGTATACATTTTGAAATATATTCTAGTGGATTGAATAAAGACTTAACAGAGTGACAATTCTCAGAGTATTGAAGTACTGGAAGTGTTTAGGTCTGTAGCTGGATAAAAATTCCTGAGATTACATTGGTTGTCCAAACTATACTCTTAACAAATGTTCTAAAATTAGCCTCACTTTGCTCATTGCAACTCTACATTGACCAATGGTGACTGTTTTTTTCCTTAAGAGGAAATCTGTACTAGAATGCATGGTGGGCAAATGCCCAGTTTCGTTAATCACTAAAGCATGATGGGAATGCATGAGGTCCTTGCTTGATGTCAGCCGTGCAGCACATATAGGAGATGTGTTTCTCTCTGTAAATATTGAGTATCAAAGAGAGATAATGCAGTCCCTCTTTTCTGCATTTAAAAAAATCTAGTTTATTTTGATTTACCTTATTAAACAATAACATTTCAGCCCCATACAAGAACACCAATAAACTGTCAGCCCATTTTAGCAGAACAGAATATGGTATTCCTGGAAACATTCTAATGAAAATTAAAAAAAAATAAAATGAAAGCTACCCATAAAGCTGTACCTGTAAGTGTGTCACAATTATAGATACTTCTATTCTAAGAAGCAAAGCAGAAATGAAACATGCAGGTCCGTTATTGTTACCCTAGATGTGTAGAGGGAATATCAGGAGAAAAATGACACTGGGACTCGTGATGGGAAGTTGGTTGGGAATTGTTTTGTATACACTTTTGGCCTTGCAATGGGACCTATGGGGCAGTTGGTGTAACATGGAAAAGTCACAGTTCCAACAGATGGGAATGATCTCCTTCCTGTCTTTCACAGCTGAGGCAGGTAGGCTGTTTTGTCCAGGGGAAATGTACAACTACCAGTAAGTATCTCTGGGATTCGATCAGAATTTAAGTGAACCTAAAAAATGTTCCAGACCTTTGCAAATTTCTAGAGTATAGCTTTACTCCAGTGTTCTGTTGCAGTGACATAAATCAAATTGTACACATTTAGTTCAAATGTGAATTGACTGTGAAGAACACTGTTCTGTTGCAGATTTACTGGTGTATATTCTGCTATACCAGACAGTATATGTTTCAAATATATTAATAACTTAAGGCTAATTAAATATAGATCTAAGTGTAGAAAAAGGTAGATAAACAGTAGCTGTCTCAGTTACCTTAATTTCTCTGTTTGTTAGTTTAAGATTGTGTATGTGAACTTTGAACAAGATAATTTTTTTGACAATGTAGAGTAAGAAATACTAATCTAATATTTCATGGAGAATTCTTTCAGGCTTGCATTGTACCACGATGCTGCTACTAGTTTGAGCTTCGATATAGCTGCCTCTTAAAGAGGCAGGCCAATATCCATTGCCTGGTGCTTGTTCTGCTGCTGTTACTTCCTTTGCATCATCACTGGTGATTTTTTGACCTTGTAGTGAGGCATATCAGGGAGCTAAATGAGCTACTTCTTTGTAGCCTCAGTTTCCTGCTGGTTTAGCTCTATTAGCTAGCTAATGTTGAAATAAGATGAGAGCCAGTGTAAGAGTGGTAGTAGGGATAGATGTGTGGGAATGAGATTAGGAGGTCTCTTGGCTGCCCTGTTTGGTAACAACAAGTTGTATCATAAAATCTTTCCCTTTGATATATAGAGGAATAGCGCTTCACCACCAGATTTAACTCCAGATCCTAATTTGGAAGTGATACACATGGTGGTATCAATCTGGAAAAGTTGGTCAGAGACTGGTTTTGAGGTATGAAAAAGCAGAGAAGCAAAGCTGTCCCCAGTCTGGAGTTCTGCAGAGCACAAACTCAGACTTATGTAACCAGGTTCAATTTAGTTCAGAAGTGTTTTACTGGTAACACATTTTAGATGAGCTGTGGAGCACTGAAGATTATGCAGTATAAGATAAGAAGAAGAAATGTGCTCCGTTTCCATCTCTCTTGCACCCAGGCATACTCGCATACACAAAATCTTTTCCTTCAAATCCTGTTATTTTTTCTTTTGCAAGTCTAGCAGCTGCCAAAAGTGGTTTGCTGCTCGGCTTCGTTTTCTGATCAATGTGCTATTAGTTTGTTTAAATTGCATGAGAATTTGCCCAAGATCTAATCCTGCCATGTATATAAGTATTAATTGAGACTGTACTTGCTTGAGTCTATCATAAAAAACAAAGTGAACTTGTGCAAAAAAAGATGATTGACTTGTGTTTAAAATATATGCTGATGTATATTGGTACTTACTAGAATGAAAAGTTTCATTAATTAATATAATAATATTCAATGCATTAACACTTTAAACATTGCCTACTACATATTACTATAGTACAGTAAATTTTGCATCTTTATTATCAGGTTCCCTTATTCAAGTCCCTTCAGTTGAGAGGGGAAAACTTAGTAAAGTTCGTCTGGGATCATTATCTTTGAAGAAAGAAGGAGAAAGGCAGTGCTTCTTATTTACAAAACATTTTTTAATTTGTACAAGGAGTTCAGGAGGAAAACTCCATCTTCTCAAGGTACAGACTTTACATTATGACTCAACTTACAAAATGAAAACACAGTTTTAGTGAAATTTCAATTATTTTGTATTTCATGGCTTAAACTTGAGATTTCCATGTGTTGTTATAAACAGAAGTGAGGTGATGCACAGTAGTTTACTGTTTTGTCTTCTCATTGTGAATGATAGACTTCAGCCAAAGTTCTTGCTATCTACATTTTTTTTTTCTAGAACTGTGGAATTCAAATAAAGTTGGGGTTAGAAACAAGACATCGATGTGTCTTTTTGCATAAGCTAGCACTGAATGTAGATCAGTTTTAAATGCATAAATCAGCCAGTACAGCCATGTGGAATTGCCAAAGAATACCAAAGAATATTTTCCAGAGCTCTAATAAAATTAATTTTAAAAGTCAGTTCTGTTTTCCTGAACAGCACATTCTCTTAAACTGAAAGCTCTTCTATGAACCCTCTAGTTATATTTGTTGAAAAGCAGGCTTTCATAGTGTTGTCTTATTAATAAAGAGATCTTGGTAGTTTACAGAGTGAATTATGTTGAATAGAGTTTTAATTTGATAAGGTGTTTCTGAGAGATTATTAAGACTCTTCATATGCTTTCTCACCTTGCGCCTCTTGGATAGTTGAGGTACTTCGCAAAGTAAATGGGGTATAACTGAAGCTTTGAAAAAGTCTTGTATACATTTAATTTAAATTTAGAAGATGAAATTCTAGTTACCTCTTTTGAAACTTGTGAACAAGTCTGTATGTGAGATTAAATTGTAGTGTAGTAAAAATGAAAGACATTTTGTACATTTGACTGTATTATTGATTTGCTAGATTAAGAAAAATGTTATATTTAATCTATCTGGGTTTAGTTTTTGAGGAAAAAAAGTGCATAATGAAATTCATGTATCTTCCTGAGGGTTCTGAGTTATGTAAAATCTTAAGAGTAAGGTATATAAAAGTTTAAAAATAACTGTAATGAGAAATGGAAGGAAAAGTCTAAATTTGTGAAAAATGTCCTTGTTTTATAGACAGGTGGTGTTCTGTCTTTAATAGAGTGCACACTGATCGAGGAGACAGATGCCAGTGATGATGATTGTAAGTTAAATTCAGCTGTTTGTAATAATTACAGTTTCTAGTTTCTTAAAATTGCTACCCTTTGTTTATTTTTCATAAGAGAAAATTGGTGTGTTCTCCCCTTTCATGAAACAGCAGGTATACAGTGTTAAACTGATGCGGTAGAATAGATGTTTTAATAATGGGCATGCTGGCTTAGATGAGGGTTTGTTTTGTGATGTTTGTTCTTGCTGTTGACATCCCACATGGGATTTTCAAGTAGACTGGCTGAAGAAATGTGACAAATTATTTGCTGACTTTTGTATACAACTTCACCCAGAGGATCTTGGAAAGAAAAAAATATACCTTAAAAGAAGAATCAGTTAATTGAGTTTCATAAATACATGGGGGTTGAGTGGGTTGGCAGAATTAGTGGAAAGTTTTTGTCTTGGATGCCCTACAAATCTTGACTGCAAGTTTGTTCAAATGAAAGAACAAAACACATTCCCAAGCTGATTTTATTGTTACTCATTTTGGCTTCCATCCTGCAGTTTAGGCAAGTTTTGCACTTGAATTGTGAAAGTAGGTTCATTAATTTCAGTGATACTTCTAGTAAACTGAGAGTATATCAGCATAGAACTGTTAGGAGGACTTTAGCCTTATTTAGTATGTTTAAAAGTAATGTATAGCAACTCCCAGTATTGCATACTTGCAACTTGTATTTGGTGTATGTAAAAAACAAAATGAGTTTTGGATCCCCAATTGGATTTGCTCTTTGTCAGAGAGATGTTTTAAAGTAACTTCCATCTTAAGTGAAACCATTATTTTCTTTGTCTTGTAGTCTGAAGTCTCACATTTTGACTTTTTTCCCCTTCCTCTGGCTATAAAGCAAAAGGATCTGGACAAGTCTTTGGACACCTTGATTTCAAGCTTGCAGTTGAACCTACAGATGCTCCTCCTTTTACTGTTGTCCTTTTAGCCCCATCACGACAGGAGAAGGCTGCATGGACAAGTGATATAAGTCAGGTAGCTTAATGGATTCTTTATCTTGTTTGTATTGAGATCTTTAATTTAATCTGTATTTCTGAAAACTAACCCAAGAGAGGAATGTTGATTTGTGGATGGTTGATTTGCAGTGAAATGTATGAACAACCCTTAGTGTTACCTGTTTTCCTCAAAATTCTGTCTTTGTATTTGAGTCACCAGTGAAATGTTACTCAATGAGAGAGATAGGATATAAAATAAAAAACTGGCAGTTGACAAACATGATACTAATGGTAGTCATTTTTATGTCTAAGGAGAGTCTGTCCAGGTACATATTTTGATTTAAGAAGGATAGCTCTTTGTTTGTTCCTAATTTTCATACAGATCAAAAACACCTGAGAGTCCTGAGAGTGAAAATGATACCATATCACAGCAATAATCATATCCCATGCGGCGCGAAAATGAGATAAACTCTGTTTTCCACCAAAAAGAATACTAACAAGCCATTATAAATAATTACTAAGCATTCTGACAGTATGCAGGAAATGTCTGTTGTGAATGAAGAAAAATGATGTTTTAAAATACTTCAATGTTAGGGATGAAAATATATATTTTTTTTTTAGTGCTTTTGGCTAAAAACATAGTAGACAAACTTTTATCAGAATCTATTTGGGAAAGAAGTTGAAAGCACTATGAAAAACCTGGACTTTCAAGTAACCAGATCTGAATTAAAGCTATTGCTTCTTTGTTTATGCATGCAACCAAGAAGTACATAGATCTCTCGTAGTTGTGAATTAGAGTCCTATACTCTATTGATTTCAAGAGGAATAGTAATTAGACAAATATCAGTGTGGACTTTGATGGATTTCTAAAGGTGCTACCATTGCTGGCAACATCTCCAAATGAATTGTCATAATAATGAGTAGAAAGATGTATTCTGAGTTACTTTCTTCTGAACTAACTTTTTTAAAGGAACAAAAATACAAAGTTAAAAATCTCAATGTGGTATGAGCTGCAGCTTGGTGCATACAGATCTTACAGACAGACCTGGTTGGATAATTTTTTAGAAAATGTATTTTCAGTGAATTATGTCATTCCATTGACATGTAAAAGTATTGGAATTATTTGTTGGAGAGGAAAGACCATTTAAGAATTGGCCTGGAACATGAGACGTCCAGAAATAAGTCCCTTAGCCTAAATAATAATAAAAGTAAATTAGAAACTTGTCTACAATCCACATAGACTAGAGATTAGAGTTTGGGTTTGCCTCCAAAAGTCAGGTCTTCTCCAAGCCACTCCAGCTCCAAACAACGCTACTGTGGTGTCAGGGGAAAAGTGAAAAGCTTATAAGTGAAAGTCAGAGAAAACTGAGATCTCTTATCATTGTGAGGCTGAAAAAGCTTCTCCAGCCTTACCAAGGAAGAGAGGCAAGAGATGCTGAGGGGATAAGCATCAGCTTAAAAGAAAAAAAGGAGTACGAAGGGGCATGAGTGCTGTGCAGACTGCACTGACATTTGGGGCACAAATTTGTACCATTGTTTACAATCAAGTCAGTTGACTTTGTGCTTATACTCCATCTGGAGAGCAAGAAAGAAGAAAATAAGGCAAGAAGCATGGCACCTGTGTTCTGCTGAAGAAAGAAAATTTGGGCTGAAAATTTGGATAATGGATTATAACCCCTATAAACAATTGAGATCTCTGGTCTCTTGAAAACCAAATTGTGTTTCTGACTGAGCCCATTGCCAGCAGAAACGTTGCCATAAAGATTGCCTACCCTGAAGCATTTTTTAATTTTTAACCCTGGCTACAAGCCTCAAGGAGAACATAGCTAACAAAAAGGGCATATAAAAAGGGGTTTTTTGGTAAATATGTGTTCTATGTTTGCAAGTAAAAAAAGCACATGTAGTTGCTGCTCACTCACAGCATTAGTCTTGGCATCCAGAATTCTGCATCTTACTAAATTATATATGCATAAGATACATAAGTCATATTTGTCTATATGTTCCTAGTGAGGCTTCTTGAATTTATATTCTTTTGATGCAAACCATACACTTAAGAAAAATGCATGGGCTTTGTTGATGCTGAAGAAGCCTCCCCTCTTCTAATTTGAGCTGCTCGTCCTTCGGCCCGAGATCCCCGTTACACTCATTCCTTAGTTAGAATGATAGCAGGTGATAAAATACGAGACCTGTGCAGACTAAGGATAACAGTCCTGAATTACCTCAGGCAGTTTTATGATTGATGCTAAGGGCTTCTTCCCAACATTTGGAGTTCATGTGGGGGAAATAACATTTTTTTATTAGATGTGTTTTTCTCAGTGTTTTTAGGTAACGATTTGATAAAATCGTAAAGTCAATTGTTACAACTGCACTTTTCAAATAATCTTAAATACAATAATTTAAAAACAAATGTAGCTACATAGATCATGTTTTAAATGTATAGCTCCATAGATACATTTTAAACCTGAAGAGGCCTCTGATTATCTTGTTTGACCAGTCTGACATCAATCGTTATTTTGCTATGTGTTCCAAAGCCAGCAGACTATTTTTATTCTTGAAGTCAAGGTAAATGTATATGTTAATTTTAGAAATGCCTTTTTATTGACGTAAAGAAATAATGGGTTTTTATATATATATATGTATGTATGTATGTATGTATAACACTTGACAAATAAAACTAGATGTTTAGATATAGATATAGTAAAGGCAGGAGTCCTGTAGTATTAGGTAGCAGGTACTTGTTGCAGACTGTATAAACCTGCTCCACTGGCAGACTCTCTGCTGACTTCCAAGAGCAAAGTTTGTGGTGCTGTGTTATCTGAACTACATAAAAGTACAAACCAGAAAACAATGGTGTACAAAAGGCTTTGAGCTACCCCTGTGTGCCCCCAGCACTGAGCTGCTTTGAGGCTTGAAGAACAGCGTACACACCCGTAGTTTGTAGGTTTCTACTGACCACAGGACAGCCTGTAATTTCTAAAGCAGTATGTGCTGTGACCATGCCCCAGAAGCCTCTTTCCAGCTTCTAATACTTAGCCCAAAACATTTGTACAAGAGCTTGCAAGGAACTCCTTGGACAGCATCTACATAGCTATATTTCACAATAAGAGCACCGCTTGAATTTGTTTTTACAAGTGTGTTTCTAGCAGCTGTTTATATTTATCTTTGGTCTTTCTGGACAGTTTAAAGGTTAAGGTATTAGCTTATCCATTTGTGTGTAAAGTATTCTAAGTTGCAGTGTTTTTTCCAAACTTAACACTCATTCAGGAAATGCTAGAGATAATTAATTTTGTTCCATTACAAAGGAACTTCAAAGGAAATTTCACTTCCAACTCAAAATACTTAATCATGTGGATGCTGAGCTGAATACCCTGAGTGTGCTGGTAAAGAGGTATGAACTTGGAAATGTGCAAATCAGAAGCAGAAGACTAGAGAAGCAAGTCCTGTATAATTCTTACATCACTGCTTTTAATTTATGAAAATACCTTGTACCAATCAGACCATGCCTTGTAAAAGCTATGCTTTAAGCTTATAGTGATATGAAAAATATGGAGCTAAGTCCTCTTACCCCATGTTTTGACTCCAAGTTTTCAATGTTTATTTCCACAGTGCATTGATAATATAAGGTGCAATGGTTTAATGACAATAGTGTTCGAAGAAAACTCTAAAGTCACGGTGCCACATATGATCAAGTAAGTGCAGCAGTTTTTTTTTCCCACTGAACACAATAGCTTGTTGGGTTTTTTTAATTAAAGTTCTAACAAAAGAAAATACAACATTTTAATTTATTTTTGTTCATTTTTGTTGAATGTAATTAATTCTACATCCCAAAAAGTATCTTTTCAAATCTTTCTTGAAATGGTAGGGATGATTCAAAATGGTGAACTCTCAATTCACAGTATTGGACTATGTAGAATCATAGCTCAGATTTTTCTATTATTTGTGAAGTTGCCTTCAGTTATGCTTCAGATGAACACTTTCATTCTCTGTTAGCTTTTCTCTGTCATACCACTCATGATTTTATTGAGTATATTTTATGCCTTGAAAATTTAGGTGACTGCAGATGAGTATAATTTTCTAAGGTATTTTGTTGTATTGGCCAAAATTTTTCTTCCCTTTGTTTCTCTTATTTCTGAGAAAAAAATATTTTCTCTCATAATCAAGTCAAGGTAACGTAGTTGTTCATAAACCTGCTTCCTTCAGCCTTGGATTATTTCAATCATTTATTGTAATAAACATTTTTATTTGTAGACAGCAATTTTCAGTACATGATTCCAAATTTCTAACACAATTTTACTGCTTGATCCCCTACAGATCTGTATTTACGTGAGTTTTACCTACTGTTGTCCAATATAAATATTTAGGGATAGAACATAGGATAGAAGTATTTCCTTTCCTACTGTTACCTGTCACTAGGCCATTCCTCTCTCTTGGATGTACTCTGTACATGAAGGTTTCTCAAATGCCTCTTTTCTAGTTGTTTCCTCTCTTTGTGTTTAGAAATGAAAAAGAGATAGCATCTGTGGATACACTGTTAAAGCAGATACCTTTGATCCCTGGAAAGAAGGCATTTTATTGTCTTCAGTTTGATTCCGGGAACTCACCAGTGCGTAAACAATTCTGTTACCTGCTGAATGTTAAAAACACATTCATCTGTTCTCACTTTGTAGAGTACAACAAGATCTTAATCCCAATGTCAAGAGAAAGAAATTTAGTTCTAAAAAACATACAGGATCTTAACAACAGACACAATTTGGTGTTCTCTTTCTGAGATTTTACTCATCTGACTTTTAGCACACATTGACTTTTAGAGTCAGGTGTCTTTGGATGAAATAAAAAAATATTGCCGCTTTTCTGAGGACTCAACTTACGAAAGAATATTTTTTGTTGTTGTTTCTTTTATGAAGTGCTGTGTGGAATATCTTTGTATTGTATTCTAAGAAAATCCAATCATGTTTAACAAAAATATAAGCAATATTGAAAGATGCTTTACTTAGTATGTATGCTGGGTTTTTACAAACTAAGCCTTCAAAAAATTAAAGAAAACTGAATTTAGAAAAAACCGTCATGAGTAGGGTTATGTAAATAACTGGGTTTTGTTTTGATGTCTGCACAAAAATTAGTCCTTTTTATTTTTTTCACTGAAACAAAGCCTCTCCATGGTTTCTGCTTTGAAATATGAGATGTTTCATGCTGTTCCCTTTGTCTTTTTTTTTAAAAAAAAGTAATTCTTGAAGACTGAGCACAGGTGCAGATGAGCCTTGCAGATGAGCCTTAAGCTTAGCTAAGGAGTTAATTTCGTTCTCTTTGCTAGAGTCCATTAGTTTATTTTAGATAAAAGTAGATCCCAGCATGAAAAATTACGGTCAGTATATTATAGTGAGCTTCTAGTAATATTGGACTACCGACCACAACAGCCTGAAAGAAACAAGAGGGTACTGTTCTGCCTTCTCTTCCATTTCAGAAATTTAAGCATCATAAGTGGTTTACAGAAATGTAAATTAATTATTTGCCAAAAATAAAATTTAAATTTGCTTAGTTTTGGAAGCAGGTATTGCCACAGATTGATGGTTTTCTTGTGTTGATTAAATATATATTTGCTGCTTCTATGTTGACAGGAGCAGCTGAAGTACCATAATCACTCTTCCTCTTTTGTAAAATGTTCTGAATTTAATTTTTGTGTAGATCTGATGCTCGCCTTCATAGAGATGACATTGATATCTGCTTCAGCAAAACACTGAATTCCTGCAAAGTACCCCAAATCCGTTATGCAAGCGTCGAGCGCCTTTTGGAGCGGCTCACAGACTTGCGCTTTCTAAGTATCGATTTTCTGAATACTTTCCTGCATACTTACCGCATATTCACTACTGCAGCTGTTGTACTGGAAAAGCTTTCAGACATATACAGGCGGCCCTTCACTTCCATTCCTGTCAGGTGAGCTCTGGGGTTTTTTTCCTTCTGATACGGGTTTCTTGAGGATTTATCATGGTGCCATTTGTTGTTAGTTTTTTTGCACCATGATTTTCAGTTCTATAAATAATCTAAGGAGAAAGTTCTTTGCAAATAGGATGTAAGTTTTTAGGCACGTCTGACTCAACTTTCTGCACAGGCTTTGAGAACCGAGTGTCACAGATTTTGCAGTGCTATGCAAATTTGCACAAAATTTGTTAGTGTTTTCACTTAAATCTGGTGTTTGTTATCATCTATTGCTTTTTTTGTTTCTTATTCTTAGGTCTTTAGAGTTATTCTTTGCTACCAGCCAAAACAACAGAGGAGAGTACCTGGCTGATGGGAAGTCACCACATCTCTGTCGAAAGTTTTCTTCTCCTCCTCCATTGTCACTCTCCAGAACTTCCTCACCTGTCAGAACCCGAAAACTGTCATTGACCTCACCATTGAATTCAAGAATCGGTGCCCTTGACCTCTCTACTTCATCTGTGATGGGCAGTCCTACCTCGAGCTACAGCCCGGCCACCTCCCCACCACCAACAGGTAGCAAAGTACCACTGGACCTTAGCAAAGGGCCCTCCTCTCCTGAGCAAAGCCCTGGCTCCATAGAGGACGGCTTGGAGAACCCTCGTGTTGACCTCTGTAACAAGCTGAGGAGAAGCATTCGAAGAGGTATTACATATCCACAAAATAGTGAATGTTACTTTTGATAAATGAGGTAGTCTCTAAGGTAGGCTTGGCTTTTATCAGATTACTGCTGAGAATGTGCCTGTTGGAGCAGGTCCAGAGGAGGCCACAGAAATGATCGCACTGATGGAACAGCTCTCTTATGAAGAAAGGCTGAGAGAGTTGGGGCTGTTCAGCCTGGAGAAGAGAAGGCTCCAGGGAGATCTTATTGCAGCCTTGCAATACTTGAAGGGGCCTGTAAGAAAGATTGGGACAGAGTTTTTAGTAGGGCCTGTAGTGATAGGACAAGGGGCAATGGTTTTAAACTAAAAGAGGGGGGATTTAGGAGAGATATAAGGAAGAAATTTTTTACAATGAGGGTGGTGCAACACTGGCACAGGTTGCCCAGAGAAGTGGTAGATGCCCCATCCCTGGAAATATTCAAGGTCAGGTTGGATGGAACTCTGAGCAACCTGATCTAGTTGAAGGCTCACTGCAGGTGGGTTTGGACTAGGTGACCTTTAAAGGTCCCTTCCAACCCAAACCATTCTATGATTCTATGTCTTTTTGTTTTCTCCTGATCACCATAAGTTGTCTGCTTCTACTTCTCTAAGCTGCGATGGATTGTCTGTTTCCACTGCTTCTTTGTAGGAATAGCAGTATGGCAGACTGGCCTTGTCTGTTTTCTCTTCCACAGAGTGTTTAGGAGAAGGGCAGAAGGAAAAGTTTTATGCCAGTTGTGTTTCCTGAGGTGACAGATTGTGGAGTTGTACCATTACTACAGGAAGTAAAATATTAAGTTAAAAAGCTAGTTTTCTAGAAAGATTTCATCACTAATCCAAAGTAATAATTTATGTGATGCACTTGGTACACTGGTGAGATTCATACCACCTGCTTGCTATCCATCCAGAAGGTAGATGTCTAAAATAGATTAATTGCTCCTGTGCAAATGCCTGTTTTCCTCTATGGATTGTATAAGGTACCTTGGAATAGGTGCTACTTCCAGAGGGCTAACCTTAGTTGATACAAGCCTCACTTTGCACATCTGGTGTGGGATTGTTGTACATATAGATAGCAAAGCAGGAAAGTAGTTCTAATCTCATAGGCTGTGCAAGTACGTGCTTATCTCTCATTGCTTTTTAGGGGTGGAGGGGATGGTCTTTCTCTGAATTGAAATAGAAGTATATAGTAATTTTTTGAATTGTTGTTACATTAAACAGAAGATGAGGAAATAAAAATTCATGTTTAGAAATGGCCTTACATTGCCTGACTTACAGTCTGAGGAATTTGAAATGTTAATCTGAGCCAAATGTAGCTCAGTTTTACTTGCAAGTACTGAAACAATGAAAATTTATATAACCCAAGAGGAAAGAAGAAAAAGATTACTTAATAGAAAGTTAAGAAAAACATGATTGAAGCATTATGTCTACTCCTTACTGATGAATTGAAATAAGTGAACTGGTAAGAAATTTGATGTTGTGTTATGCAGAGGGATTGCTTTTACAGAATGTAGTCTGTACAATGTCTATTGTTGAACAGAAAATCTTTTAACAGGCAAGTTAGCCACCTTAGCATTATAGGAGTCTATGGTTGCCCATGCCTTATGCTGTCATAAAATGCTAGTTGGCTGTTATACTTAATCAGTGTATTTCTGTATGCTGGATGTTTTTAAATGAATAGTGCAAAAGACTATTTATATATTAAAAAAATATAGTATTTACTATGTAGAGTTGGGCAAATTCTTCTTGTGCTCTCGTGTAACTACATCCAAATCAATGTAATAGCACAGCATGTCCCAATGTACAGGCCATGCATTAAAATTAATGGTACACAGGTAAATGCAGTCTTAAGTGTAACGAGTTTTGCTATATACTGTAAAGTAAACTATTAAAGACTAGTTTATTCTGGCCTAATGTTAGCACCAGGCATTTTTGCAGAGGTATTCAGATTTTGTGTCCTAGTCTATCAAAGCTGGAAGTGTCATGTGGGCAGCATGAGGAACATTTGGAAATGGCAAGAAGCTCATATAAATGCTAAACTGCCAGCTGTGCAGTGTCTCCAGTCCCTTTGGGGATCTCCTGCCGAACAGTTTGCACTCAATTTGGAGGAATTTGCAACTAGATAGCTCTGTTCTGCAGGGGAATGTCCTTTTGTCACTCAGCTGTGTATAGCATGTTCAGGAAGAGGAGTAAGTTTAAAAAGAAATCTCACAAGGAGAATGGGAATGGGTCTGCATGTTTCCTTTCACATGTAACACATTACTTTGTTCCTGAAGTTTTCTGGGTGAGGAGACCAGTTCTATTTAATCAGGAGCCACCACCCCATTACAGTTAATACTGTTGCTCTGGTACTGCCGGATTTCCAAGAAAACAGCTATGGCTTACTCCAAATCCAATATAACCATACAAATTCTGTTTCCCAGAGTTATGGTGATGGTTGTTCTGCTGGAATGTTGTCCATTTACATCCTGGAATTTCTGCCTGCTTTGCCTACTTCCAAAGTTATTGTTTATTTCCAAAGTTTTTGTTTTCCAAAGTTTTTGTTTATATATATTTTTATATATACAGTACTTATGCTGCAGGCACAGTTGTCATTCCTATCAAATGTAGGATATATTTTATCAGCTTGTTTTTCCTCATTTCAGAAGTAGTAATTCTGCCATTCCTTTTTTATTCTTCTGATAGAGATCTTCTCCATGGAATAATCTGCTCCCTAGTGCTGTTTGGCCATTTTATTGGGCAGTTTTTGATTACACATAGTTATCCAACAAGGATTATTTTCCCCAGCTCATCTAAAATGTATGAGTTCAAGTATCCTTATTACATGTACATTTCACTGCATAATCTGCTGACTTAAAGTGCAGTCTTATCCAAGCTACTTTTAAAACTGACAGCTTCCTAGTTTTCATCAAGTTCTTTATTAATGAGCTTTTTTGGGCCTATGTCTTTGGTACAAAACTTTCCCAGTCCTTTAACTCCATCCAGAGGATAATTATTACTGAGTCTTCTTAATGCAAAAGTTTCATGGCAAGTTTGAGGAGCAGTACTGTTTTAAACAACTGTAAATTACAGATTAAATGTAAACAACTTTGTGTGAGATGTTATTTAGTGGTACAAGGTTGGTATTGAAACACTGGTATTAAGTGCTATTAGTTAATGGCCATTTTTTAAACATTACCTTTCAGTGAAGTGCCCTTTGATGTACATATTCTTTTTTATCAATGCAGTACAGTTCAGATTGCTCAAAGCTGATCATTTGCAGACTTCCTGTCTTTTGCTGTTTGCACCCTGAGAGTCCTGCGTCACCCACGTACTCTGTAGAAGGCACTCCATAGTTTAGACAAACTAATTTAACTATACTCTGTGCCCCATACTATAGTTCATATGGCCTCTTGATATTTTCAGAAAACACTTATACTTCATAAATATGGTAATATAATATAATGTATTAATATTATGATTGACATAGGAATTATTGTGAGTTGTTTGTATTCATTTTTATCAATATAATAAATATCATATCATATCATATCATATCATATCATATCATATCATATCATATATACACTAAAGAGTTGTAGATTATGAATGATCATCCCAGTATTAACATTTATCCTCTTTTAAAGCAGCAGTTCTAGAATCTGTGTCAGTGGATCGGACAATTCCTGAAAGCACCTCAGCAGTGGATACCACAGAGCTTTCCCCATGTAGATCCCCTTCGACACCACGTCATCTCCGCTATCGTCAGCCAGGAGGTACAAACTTGATGTTTCCTGCCTCTGTCAGTCACTTTAAATAGTTTAAATACTGTAGCTGTAGTCTTTACAGGATATTAGAAATGAGTAATGTTTGAATAATGTGTTTTTGCTGGTATTTTCCTTATTTCTCAGGTATTTTGGGCACCATATGTAGTAGTGAAATACACAGCACCCATTATTGTCAATGGGGAGTGACTGTCTGATTCTTTGTGTAACACAGAACATTTACAGATGGTGCCACATAATTCGTTCCAAAATTTGAATAAACTGCTCAATTGAAGAGGAAAAGTGAAGAGCTGGAGCTCCTCAAATAACTCTCACGTGGCTCTTTGAAGTCATTAGCAGAGCTGTGAGCTACATCTGTGAACACAAGTCAGATTTCTGGGTAGTTATTTCATGCCTGAGATTAAAACAACAAAAACAGGGCAGAGGCTTCTCAACTGTTAATAAGTTGCTGAGACACTTTAATTTTAGACCAATAGTAACCTTCTGTTATTGGGCACATTTGTGGTGAGATGGCAAGATTTGAGAGTTGGAAACTGTGGGGAACAGTGCAATATTACCTGAGTACTTTCAGGGGCAATGTTCACAGGACTCCCTATAGAGAAAGTTTGATGAATCATGCAAAACTGTACTCATCCTAGGCAATGACCTGGGAAAATATGTGAATCTAGTTATCAGAAGTTGGTTAATATGCTTAGTTGTCTAACATGATTTTTCATTTAGGTTCATTTTCTACACCATTTTTTTTGTCTTTTTTTTTTTTTTTTTTTTTTTTCTGTTTGGTAACTGCTTGTTCCTCACCTCGATAGTGTCTTAGACAGTTTTTTCCATAGCAAGATTAATTATACCAACCTGGAAATAAAACTTGAATCACAAATACGATTTTGGTATTTTTATTTCTTTTAATATAAAGTCATCTGGCAGTGAAAACATAAAATGTTCACAAAGTATAAACATTAGTGAAGATTTTAAGTATTATTGTTACTTAACTTGAAAAATATGAAAAGTATGTAGAAGTTGTAAACTTTTCTCTGTCTCTTCCCTTTACAGTACAAACTGCTGACAACAGCCACTGTTCAGTTTCTCCTGCTTCTGCTTTTGCTATTGCTACAGCTGCAGCAGGGCACGGGAGTCCACCAGGTGAGATAAATGTACTGTACAAAAGAGAGATAACAATAAGTTATCTAGGTCTCCAAAGGTAAATATTTCCTAAGAACACAATTCTCTGAGTCTTAAGTAGCCACTGATTTTTTACTTTAATCTGCCAGTGTTTTGAGTCTGGAATCCTGCCTTTTGCATAAACATCGCTATACAGCACTCAAGAGTTAATTGGAGCCTTGACTTCCAGTTATGAGGCCAATATGAAAGTATTTGTAATGTAACTAATTTAGTTGAAAGTGAAATTGACCCATAAGAATTACTAAAATAGCTTAAGACAGATTGTTCAGGTACGTCCACCCTGTTGCTTTTCCTACTGTGGCAGTCTGGAAATTTTGGCTGATGAAGCAATTTATGTCACAAAGGAGTAAAATGACCTTTTAGGCTGTTTATATACCACCCTGTTCTGGGGAGGTGCCAGCAACCATCTTCACTTTTACTTGAAAGAAGAAAAGGATGAGAATGTGTTCAGAAATATCTTTCAGAACAAAACATGAAACCTAACAAAACAAGGATTACATACTATAACACGCGTCTTAAAGGAGCTGTGAGCTTTGTGCCTTTCTTTTGGGGACTCTTAAGGAGACTGCCAAACTATTCAGTGAGATTTTGAACTATCCTGGTATAAACCAATGTTAGGTTTTCTGCTGCCTTAAATCAGAATTATAATTATCACTCCACATTTTCAGTTCATCATCTGTTAGTTGAATTCTTATATTCTGTCCTTAATATTTCTAGTCCAGCCTATTACTGAAAAATTGCTATTTTACATATATGTAATCTGCTGAACATCTTGATCACATCTTTCTTGGTGGGGTTTTGGGTTTTTTTTGTATTCACTTACATTTAAGATTTTATTTTGAAAATGAGCATTTTTATGTCCAAGGTTGGTATGTATAAGAGCAGTTGTAGTTAACTGAGTTATTGCAAGTGTGTACTGTGTCTTCTTTGGAAAGCAGCTATGTTGTCTACAGACTGGAATTGTTTAGTGCAACTTAAAATACTTGATTGAAGTTTTGCATTCACTTGCTGTCTTACTGTGTACCCTTTGACTTTAATATCTTCCTCTATCTGAGTCCTGTCCTGGGTCATGTTAAAAATAAAAAGCAACTTTTTTAAAGTCCACAAAATCACTTTCACTTTCCATTGACACACTCAAACCCACAGTTATTTTTTATTACGTATGACAAGGTGTAGTCCAACTGTAAATTAACACCAATTAAATTAAAAATTACTGCTTTTGTATTGTTAAAACCACTGCTTTTCAGTATTTGTCGTACTGAAGTATGAAAGAACATAAAATCTACAAGTATGTAATCAATTGAAGGAATATCAAAGCATGGAGATGTTGAAAAGGGAAAAAACAACATCTCTCATATTCTTAAGTACTTTTTTGTGTTGCTGTCTAAGCTGGTTCTGCATAAAAGTTCATTCTGCTGGGGAATGTAAAAAACAAGAAGATTCTGCAGCAAATCTGACAAGAAAAGTGTGTGGTGGGGAGTCTCAGGAGACTGAGCTGGAGCAAGGATGTCCACCTGTAATCAACATGAAAATGCAAGGCTACAAACCACGGCTTAAACTGCTGAATCACCTGTTTTATAATGTAATGCAATTAATCATAGTAGAGATGGTATTAAAATTACAGATTCATGCAGTTCAAATAGTTTTATTTATTACCTATGTTTGTGTTATCATAATTATGTGGGGTTTTTAAAAAATGTCATTTTTCTTCCAGTGGGCTCCTCTCTCATTCACTGCATAGGATGGACATGATCCCTCAGTGAATATGTCGGCGTACTGAATGAGATTTTGGGCTTTTTTTTCTTTTTTCAGTTGATCCTTGGCCTCACTGCTGCAGACATTGTGGTGTCTGCCATTAATGTACTCCTGCACGTAACATAAGATTGTTCTTCCTTATGTGAAAACACTTAGTATTTATCAACATCAAATTGATGCAGATTTGCATATTACTTCTTTATTTTAACAGCATGATAAAGATAAGCAGAAATAAAAGGTGAAAGTACAGAAAGTTAAATAAGACGCTTCAGGTGCACAGCTTGGTGACTGCATGAATGATAATATGCACAGTAAGGGTAAATAGAGCATATTGTGTCTTTTACATGTCCTTTCTCTTTGGAGGGATGTGAAGGGTGTCTGGATGCCTCATGGCTTGCTGCAGTTGTAGTGCTCTGTCTTCGTTAATAGGTTGCTGCACACCTTCATTCTTTTCCCAATTTATTAAAACCGGATAATCATACTAACACATTCTATAATGGAAATGGACAGGTCAAATCATCTTCATTCTACAGTCTTCTACAGCTTTCTTTCACAGCGATAAAGCTCACTTTTCAGCAAGAGAAGAGAACAAAGTTATGCAAACATCCTTCTGCAGAACAGTGAACACTATCCAGTTTTTATGACTGGATGTAAAACTCAAATTGTTGATACAGGGACATGTTTTCTTTACTCATTCTGAATTACCATCTCCCTTTTCATAACTCTTTGTCATTGCTCCTGGCACTTCTGATCACCTTCATGCATCTAGTGGTAGATAAGCCCTGAGCAAGCACAAACTTATGCCTACTTCTCTTCTCTGAGAGTCTGTCACACAGCCAGTGTCAAAAGAAGGAGTGAGACTGGTAATGTCAGAGAGGAACCTCCTGCCAAAATACTCACTGATCATTTGTAGTTTTGCTGCAAAAATCCTACAGAAGCTACAGGAATTAAATAACAGGAGTATAATGTATACAACACCACAAACCCTAGCACTAGATAAAAACAATTGATATGGAACAGTATTCCTTTCATCTGTGGCTTGTAGAGCTTGCAGATTACCCTAGTTTATCTTTGTACAATTCTTTCAAACAAGTTATTGCTTTTTTTTTCTCCTTAAATTGTTATTTATGTCTGTTGTGCACAGAATCAGAGCACTGTCTCGGAATCAGTATGATATCATGCACTGATTTCTAAAGAACATATTTTGGTGTTCATTTACTGAAACCACTTGCTCTGCTGCAGGTCCTCATACTTGTTAATACTCATAAACTATAAAGGTGCTCTGTGTGACTAGAAGAGATTCAGGCTTTACTTAAAATCTCTGAATAGTTGTATGGATGAAGCCAAGTTAGCCAAATAATGCTGTCTTGCTTGTATATGATAAATAAAAAGTACTTACATAAGCTTAGCAAACATACAAATTTCTAATGTCTTACACAACTGGAATAAAAATAGTTAATGTTAAATTGATAGTTTTATTTTGAAACATTTCTGAACATGGGCTTCAAGGAGATTATTTTGACAAAACTTAAATTCATTATCTAAATTGATCTCCTATATTCTTTATATTTTTAGCAGATATACTGAAAGAGCTTTGAGAAGCTTATTTCTTCCTCAACTCAAACTAGAGACCCAAAAATCTCCCAACATGGAAAATAAATGTTAGACAAGAAGCAAATACCTAAACCCAAACAAACGGGTTGTTCCCTCATGAACATAGCAGCTTTATTTCAACAGCTCTGTCATCCAGTTTGAGCGGGGTATGTCAGTATTTCCAGAATGCTGCACGCCTCAGAGCTGCCTTCCTCCTCCTACAGCATGCCCATCCACGCTGCAGAGAATGTACCATTTTTCACAAGAACAAGGTGACATTATGGGAGAGGATGGGAGTGGGATGGAAGCTTGTGGTTGGCAGGAGGGCCTGGCTTCTTTGGTATCAGCATTTGTTTTTTGAAACACATGTGAAAGGGAGAGGAGAGAGTGAGAAAGAAGTAGGGAAAAAAGAATCTTTGGGGGAGTATCTCTGACAAATATGATTTGCATGTAGGAAAATCTGCCCCATGTTAGCAAGGAGGAAAGATGGTTTTATTCTCTCTGATTTTGGTGATTAAAAGGGGCAATTAAAATAACAGCTTGAAGCATCTACACAAAAAAAAATAATCGCTTATATGCTATCCCTTTCAATTAATTGCTGGCATGTATCTCTGATGCTAAATTACCTTTAACTTGAGTTATTTACCTGAGTATTGTTCAGGAGAGAGAATTTTTCCTAAAGTCTCTGTGTTTCTCAGCTTGTACCCTATGAAAGAACATTTCAAAAGATCTCTCAAACAGTCATCCTGCCAATCCTTTCTTATGCAGAGAAAGTACAACCAGCTCCTTCTCTTTTCACAAATCCACTGTGGTGGTTTGGGGAAGCAATCTTAATCTAAATTGCCCTTGGTTTTAGTCTAGCAAAACTGATCAGCTTGTTTACCAGACCGTTTTCTGGTATCATCTGCTTTTTCATAGCTTACAATCTGAGTGCAGAAGTGATCAGACAGTCCTTTGCAGCTGCAGCAGATTCTCAATAAAGCAAACACAAAACCTGCTCCGTTAATCTGCTAGCTGCAGCTGCTAAATGCAAGCAGTATCTTCCTTCAAAACAATTCAATACACCTGAGGGTTAAAAAGTAGCTCCTGATTCCACTTCTGCACACTGCCACTGAGTAGTTTGCACTCTTGGCAGAGGATCTAATGCAGTCTGGGAGTTCTGGATTGATGGTCCTGCAGTCACATCACTGTCTATGGAGGGGTCAAGTTCCTTTCCTAATCTTAGACTTTGTGTAAAAACTTAGTTATATGCTACTTTCCACTGATAATCAGTTATGCATTAGTGCATTAACTGTAAGCATAAGGTAAACATTAGTGATGGAAAAGATGTACAGAGAGAAGTGTGTAACACTTTTACAGTATATTACAGTGATACATCATAGTTTGATGTGGCTATTGTGGTATTCATAGTTGCTACCTGGGATAAAACACTGTAGACCCTTTCTGTACTTTGTTCTATCACTTCTAATCTAAAGCTGCCAAGCCTCTTGAATGCAGTTGCAGATAAACAGTAGGGAAATACGAATGTGAAAGTGTCAACTTTAAAAGCCTATGATAGATTCAGTG